GGTTCATCCCTTTTCTCATTTTTTTTTACTTATTTCCATTTCGTGGTCGCTTCATTATTCCGCCCGCGGAAGCTTTAACATTGTATCACGATGATCTATACGTGTAGGAGGTAGCACCTTTTTTTGTCAACGACAACTTTGCATTGATTAATACGACGGAAGCCCGGGCACGATCACGCGAGCTTTTATGGGTTAAATTAATGACTCTATCAATCATCGCGCAGCTACACTTTATATGCGTCGGAGCGTGTGTTGCTTCTAAACTTGCCGGATGAGAGATAGAGAGAGAGAGAGAGAAAAGAGGGTGGCTATATGTTTTCTATAGAATTCAAGCTTTGTTATAGGTATATAATAGGCAGTGTACAAGAATTAGCTTTTTTCCCTTACGTAATTCTGGTTTCATCGTTTTCAGATCTAGGTGCAATATAATCTTCTCGTATGCGTATAACTTGATTTTCATAACGACAGCATATAATTAATTGCCGCTAATTGCGTTCAGTTGCACATTCACAGAATTATAAGACTACTGATTAGTAACGAATTTGAAGAAAATTGATTCCATGTGAGTAACGCCTTCGATGGAATCGCCATCTTAAAGTCTTAAAACAGAGCGTGTAAAATCGACTGCTCGCCTAGTCATCGCTAGCAGAACAAGGAAAAAGAGCAATTGGTCTTTGGAATAACACACGGGTTCGCTGATCACTAAAGTATTAAGGAAAGGGGGAAAGAGAGTTCCAACAGGCTACGCGGCTTGTTTTCTCTCTCTCTCTCTCTCTCTCTCTCTCTCTCTCTCTCTCTTGGGCACACAGCGACGCGGTGGATGGAGCTAACGAGCGGCGCGCGCAAAAATAATGGCGCGTGCGGGTGTGAAGGCGAAGCTAGGGAAGAAAGAAGCTTTTGCCGCCATGTACGAGGCCCCGCGCAGAAAAGGCCCGTACGCTTGCCAACTGTCCCAGGTGCGCGCCTCTCCGTAGTGGCGGAGGAGGAGGCGAAAAGTTTTGGAGGGACTTCAGGTCGTGTGGCCGGCGCGTGCGCCACTCACTTTTTCGGACGATCATTCCGCTGGCCCCGCTACTTCTGCCGACTGACCCTGTGGCATGAGGTCTCTCGCCCTTGCCGATCAGCTTCCACGTTCGCTTGTCGCTCGTTTCCCTTTTGGAAAGTCTCGCCTCATCCACGACTGCACGCACTTTATCCGCTTTACTCGCATATGGATATCCATTCGTAAAACTTTTTACGCCAAAGTTATTCATAGCAATAACTCAGTGAAATCCGCGCGCGCGTGGTAATTTACTTTACCACTTCTCGTGGAGGCTTTCTAAATAGGACGCGCAAGAAAGCGTCAAACATTAAACGGCAATTAGCGTGAACTTGAACGCGACGCTCATTTTTTTCTTTACGGTGCATGGTAATTTGTCAGATTACACTTTCGTAGAGGGGCCTTTCGGTAAAGTAGGTCATCAAGTGCCGCGGCGTACAAGTTTTACTCGCTAGCAGTAAAACTTCTTGTTTTAACTGTTCTTTCAATTCTGATTATCCTTGAGGTGTTATAAAATGAACAGACCGCAGTTGACGAAAGCTCGACCATAGATATATGTAAGCGAAGGTGAAAAAACAGAGATAGTTGCGCGAACTAGACTGAGGCTAGGTGCACGAGGCGTACAATCAGCAGAGTGGTACTTATTATCCAATAAGTTGTGGCCGGCACTAAAGCAAGGCAAGCTGGCGGGAAATTTACGAGGCACCTAGCTGCAACTCGCGCGTCGATTAATTAAACAAATTCCTATATTTTGCCACGGTTCTTAAAGGGCGCCGCGCTTTGCTAAGTAATAAGTCATTATCGTGGCAGCGCGAAATAACAAGCATTAAGTCCGCGTCGCGGCAGCGCAAAACTGCACCGCGGACAATGAAGAGCGACTAGGCTGCACGGTGGCGGCTCTGCGCCTCTGTGCGTTAAAAATAATTAAACCTCGCCGCGGCCACTGGAATATTAATGAAGCGCGCGCGCGCGCGCACGGCATTGATGACGGCAATTACCGGCGAGATATACGGCGCGCGTGCACGCGCAGTTAAAGCGGACCGAACAAAATAACGTGTAAAGTCAGCATCGGCCGCGCGCGACTGTGTGCCAGGCGCGCGGGGATAATTGCGTACGTATGCGCCTATAACGCGGAGACGCGGAGAGCCGGAAGCGGCTGTCATTGCGACTCGCTCGTAAATCCAGCTGTATCCAAGTGCGCCTCCTCCGTTTTTGTCTTCCAAGCGCATCGCTTTTGACCCCTCGAGCTGCGCGCACCGAGGCTCCTTATCAGCTCTGCTCCCGCTTCCTTCTTCCGGCAGCCGATGAGCTTTTCCAATTTTCGCCTCACCTGGAATTGTTTGAAGAGCGTCGAAAGCGCGCGTTTGGCAAAGATCCGTGGACGTCACGCTTTCGCAAACAGAGATAGATCGCTAAAATTGCTCGCGCTGCCACGGATGATTCACGGCGTCACGCGCCTTCAGCCGAAGCGTACTTTTTAGTTGTGTGCCGTGCAAACACAGATTCATCTTTAACGAGCTGTAGAGAAGCGCGGCGTTTAGATTCTTTGGGACGCGGCAAGCAGGAAAAAATGAAAATGCAATTGCTATGCGTCGCCGCTGCTGCCGCTGCTGCCGCTGACCGCCACGTAGCTTGGACTGCGGCGCATTGTTAAGGCTGTGATGCAGCAAATCCCTCATCGTGTCATCGCTCGACACTGCTGTGCGTAGCTTTTTACTAACCTATGCGCACGGGACCGCGCGTTTCTTTGCTCGTTTCTTTGTTCGTTTTTTGCGAATTTTCAACGTCTCTTGAATTCCTGACGCCTCAATTGTAACAGCAAGTGCACGCTGAATAATCAGTGTTCCAACGATTTTTCGAGAAACCAACGGATAGGATGAAGATATCTTTTTCTGCAGTTGCACGGCATACTTTATCAAGCGGCATTAATGCGCGAAATGAGCGAGCGTTCGCTATTAAAAAAAAAATAGCAGTAATATGCCCACCGAAGCTGCGCATTTAGACTCAACTACTCTTCGTACTCTGGTGAAGCATCGTTGTGCGAGCATTAATATGATGCTCCAATGACTCTGAATTTTTCAAAGGCATAAATACGACATTTAGATGTAGCGGTAATGCACGACTTTCATAACTGTATTTCAAAACGGTCCGTCATGTTTGATCGTAGATGCATTACTGCTCGTCAATGAAGTTACGTTAGAACGACTTCTCGCAAAAATCTCGACAAACCGTAGTTAAACCTAATTGTAAGCAAAATGCAAAAGGTGCCAAGATCAACGCGTGTCTCTTGCGCATTCGCGCTACGTTCATTGTACGTATAGGTGTGCGCGCAAGGGCCGATTAACATACCAGCAGCGGAGGGAGTCGGCTTCTGTCCCTCTCGCCGTTGATTTGCGTATATTTTCGCATATTCACACCTTCGCCCATCCTCGCAGCTACTACTCCATCATTATGCGTGGCTCTCTGCATTTGCTAGAATTTTGCGTTTTTAACGGAATATATTTTACTCCACTTAAGCTGCATGTTCGTGTCATTTGCATAATTGGCAGGCTGTATTTGACAATTATCATACTTGCTACCGGTCTGGAATTCTGTGCTTCTGAAAAAGCTTGCTTATTCATGTGTACTTGCATTTTTATAATTATTTGTCTTCTTCTTATACTTTCAAAATGCAAGACATTTTTCCAGCTCAGATTATCCATCCCCGCATTACTCCAATACCCATTACTTTGAAATAATACAAATGATTTAATTGGATTTCTCATTTGAATAAACATATATGAATTATATATACAAAATGAATTTAAAATGGTCCAATTTAAAACATTTAGTCATATTAAATATGGCTTTAGGCTGAGATTCCAGTGATAATAAGTTTTTACCTGAAATGAGCGTGAAATTCATGTCATTCAAAATTACTGCTAAGGTTTCGTTTTCAAAAAGAAGAGCCGAAACCGCATCGATTAGCATATAAAGCGGCAGTTTATCCAGCTGCAACCATTCGTATCTTGATCTACTTGACTGCCAATCGACTAAGATGGGGAAAAATTGCAACAATTAAACCGTTGGTAATCTAATTTTTAACTGAATTTTCAAGATAACTGTTCAAGTACAATGTGAAACGTCTCGAGCTGATAAATGCTCTCAATTGATTGAATAGTAGCACGTGTGGAAAGAAAAGGCAAGTTTTCGAGTGTTCCTATTGAAAAGAAAACTAGACAATATAAAAAATCGAGTCAGACGAATTGCAGAATAAAAGAGCTGGCAATTTCCACAATCGCACGCTTTTCCAAGAAAACTTCTTTTGATGATAAAAAAAAAGAAAATGGACTTCATTAGAGATCACAGTGAGAGTCACTACTAAAACATCGTCCGATAAATAAAAGCGGCTCTGGCCTTTGAGAGATGCGCGCGCGGTTTAGCTCCGCAGGGGTTCGGCCTTTGAGCGCTGCGTTCTACCGCAATTACACGGGACTCACTTTTGCGTGCTTTTCTTCACGCCTTTAATCCTCAACAAGGCGTCTTTCTTTTTCGCATTATACTCGTGGGCGCGCGGCTCTCCGGCAGTCAGGTGTTGTACAATGGCACGATCGATTCGGCGCAGCTACTTTCAAACTGCCCGATCCGCCAATTTCACGCCGATCATCTTAAATAATTTTGTTTTGGTTACGTAACACATACTCTTTTTACTCATCAAATACTCATTTCACAATATTATTCTAATTTATTCAAAAAAATAACTTACGAACAGTTAATTTGATACAAAGAAAATTATAATAATAAACAACATTGTCATTGGCCTCGTCAGAAAATATTTTCTATGTGTAAGGAAATTTACAATAACTATAATTGCTCGTTATATTCAATTGTAAATATTAATATAGTCAAAACATAATATAAGAGAATAATTTTATTAATTATTGTAGTAAATGAAAAAAATGGGGAAAAGGAAAAACGTTTTAAATCGCTTCGGCATTTTATTTTTTATTAAATGAATATAAAAGATTCATGACGAAAACAAAATATGATTTCAAAACTCATAAAAATAATAACGGGATAAAGGATTTTAAAGAGGTCCGCTTCTTAAAATATTTTTGAAAACAAAATGTATCGAGAAGAAAGCCTAAGTAAGCTAAGCTTTCAGCTAAGAAAAAGGTAGGGTGGTGCGGTTTTATGCACTTTCCCAGATCCTCATAACGAGAGATGGATTTATAATGATAATGCGGGTTTTCACTTTGTTGTATTGTAGATTAAAAAATCATTGGTGCCATGTCTAGACTAAAAATTACTAACAATCATCTTTTTAAATTATACTTTGTTATAAGGCCCATTCTTTCTGTAATAAATCCGCATTTTTTGTTAAATTAAGACTTTATATAAAAAGTATACTATGAGCAATTAGATTTTTTAAATTCAGTAACATTGTAAAAGCCTTCACGGTATAATATAAATATTATACATATATATATATACACACCCATGTGTTTGTATGTGTGTATTGGATTATGTGAAAGCTTACGTAAACAGTAAACCAATATTTGTTTATAACAAAAATTTTTAGTAATAAAAATAGTAAAGAATATAGATACACAATATCAATTGTTTGTCAAGGTATATAGTATTAGAAATATCATAATACAAATGCAAATACATAGTGTGATATATCATATGGCAGTTTATCATGGTGATCTAATGGATATCAAAAATTAAGCTTTCAATGAATATAATTATAGAAAAAATTATCACTACAGGTACAAATAAAATTTGTTTTTAAATAATTAGCAATAATTTCTTAAACTAATAACGGACATCTTGAGAGTAATCATAATCAAATATATAATCCATTAATTCAATAAATCCTCTGAACAGTCGCTCTTTGAATTGATATGTGAAAAATTGATTGCGATACCTTGGAACATTGTTATAACGATAATTGTTATTATAATATGCAGTACCATATCTATTATTGCTATAATTGTAATTTCTCTTGTAATAATTATTATTGTAACCATTACAATATTTTCTATAGTATGATCTGTTCTTATTACTATTGTAATAATTATTATAATACCTATAAGGCTGTACTCTATAATTTTTATAACTCTTTATACGGTTATAAGTTCGCTTAGTTCTGACTACATTATTGCGAACGTGGTTTTTATTTCTGATTGAGTTGTTATTAAAATTTTGATTATTCCTATTGCTTGTTACTCTAGTAGAAGTAGAAATAATAGCTGATGTTGCAATACTTGCAGATACACTACCTGTTTCCATTAAAGTGCATTGATTTGGTCCAGAAGTCATTGCTTCGCTGAACCCAAGAGTATTTGTTGTACTGGCCTTTAAAGTGTTGTCTACAATAGAGGAAAATATTAGAATTTAAAGTTTATATCTCAAATTTATATTAGTTATTAAAGACATGGAAAATTATTTTCATTAATTTATATCAATTACACAATTACATCAACATTACAGTGATAAATTACAGTTAATGCAAATTTAAAAGCTAATATATTTTATATGATTTACATAATTATAGTTGATAGATAATAGGTAATTTGATTCTCAACTAAAAATTTATATGACATGGGTTATGGATTGGCTCAGCTTTATATTAAATATGAATGTAAAAATGATGTGAAAATATTTAATATACCAATTCGATTAAAAGCCTTTGGAAGGAATTCATTGTCATAAGTCTGCGTAGCCTTATCTTCATGTTTTTTAACGATTTTTTCTTGTATTTCTTCTACTATCTCATCTACAACAAATTTTTCTTCTTGAAGAAACTCACCACCATTTTTCGTTTCTAGATATAAATTCAATATAATCAAATTTCTTGTTAACACTAAACTTAATACTAACTACAGGATTACTAGTAAAACAAATATTTGTAAAATGTTGCAACAAAATATTGCAATATTCTTACCAATATCTAAATCTTCTTCCTCGCCGCTGCTACTACTGTCAACAAAAATAGTTTCAATCGAGGCCTTCCGGGTTAGAATTTCAGTAATACTAGCAATCGAGTTGTCAGAAATAATAGAATCACTATCGTAGTCCTACAAAAAAAACTCGTGTCTTATTATTCAAGTACCCGATTAATTGAGGACTACATTTTTTGCAACTTATTTACATTTTCCACAGATTTGCTGTTCATTTTGAAAACAGAAAATGGACTTCAAAATATTAATGAACAAACTAATCTATATTTTGGTAACCAAACTAACAAAACAGTCTTTTAATTCATTTCACGCTTGCTTATTCTCAAAGATTAATTTTTATTTCCGTAGAAGCGTTATGGAAGACAAAGAAAATAGATGAAAACCGATCGTGACAACAGCGCCATCACTACATCATTATTTGACCCATTATTCAGACCCAATACCGAACCAATAGTAATACATACTTGTTTCCATTCCTACTAAGATGAATTTTTAATATGCTACATCAATATATTTTGTACATTTGTTTAAATAGTTCTAAATATTGTTTAAAGTTTATTTTATTGCCAATTGTAATTGATCATGTTAATTTAATATTAGATTGTTTAAGCTGTAACAAAGAAAAATTGATTTTGCATTATACATACTAAAATTTTTGAATTTCAATATTTATAACGGTAATAATGAAATAAAAAAAACAATATTAAACATTTGAATTTGATAGTAATTATGCTCATAGCATGGAATATTAAGTTTATTTAAATAAAATTAAGATATGAAACAAAATATAAACATACATATATATTTAGTAAGTACTAAACTAAAGCTACTGTTACACGTGGGCGCGCGCGTGTGTGTGTGTGTGTGCGAGAAAAAGATCATATTAGCATCCATAAAATAAAATTGAAATATTATATTAGATTTTGATAACAAATGAAGAATAATAAAACAAACAAAAGCTTTAATTTGTAAATAGAACTAGTTAAATATAATCAAGACGTAAATATAATCCAACTTAGATTCTCAAAATGATGCTAAATATGAATGATTGTATTGATGTATTAATTGAAGGACTATAATTTTTTCAAAACAAACTATAGTGGTACATAATACTTAATGGAAATTGACTTCTATTAAGATTATAGTATATAATATTATGTATTTAGCTCATCAGAATTTTTTATCAAAGCATTTCATTAATTCCATGAAAAAATAGAATCCTTTTGCTGCTCTGTCTTCTTGAGACTTTTGAAATTGAAATCTGTTATGGAATTCATGATTTTTATTATGATTTTTATAATTTTTCCATCTCTTTTGCTGTTTCTTTGATATACTGTTACTACTATTATATATACGTTTGAAATTATGATATTGATTTAGATGTTTTCTGAACTTGAAATATGGTTGTCTACAATTTTTAACGTTATAGTTAAAGCTTCTATCTGTATTAACTCCAACTTCATGAGTTATTTTTGTAGCACTATGCTTATTATTCAAAGGACTTTCTTGGAAAGAATCTACAATTCCATTCTCTTCAAATATGTTTGCATTTGTTTGCATTGTTTGCATTGAAGCTGAGTCTGTAATGGGAAATGCTAACGTATTAATTTCTTAAAATCAAATTATTAAAAAATAATGTAGATTAATGAATATTATAGTTAATAAATGTCATTAATACCTCTTATATTAAAGTTCTCTTGTGAACTAATATTCTGCGGAGATAAAATATTCTTCTCTATTAGATTACATCTATCAAACCCAGCAATGAGCGAATTGCATGACTCTAAAATATACAATATATGATGCTACATAAAGTTGAAAAATAAATTATCCATGCAAACTACCTCTTTTGTTCTATTTCAGAAAAAATATTTTCTTATAATAAGTTTCGCTTAGTTTGCGAGGTAGCTTCATTGTAAAATAACTATAACCTACCTGTATCAAAGTCATACATGCTACGACTATCTACACTGAGTAAATCAGTAACTGAACTGCTTTGATTTTTCTGTAAAGTCACAATATAATTACAAATTATTAAATAAAAATGAAAATCTAGAAGGATTTTATTACACACGCTTAAGTCGTCCATATTTCGATTAATTTACAATCTCGTTATAAGTTCGAGAATGTTGAAAGTTTACACTTTATTTTTTATTTTATAGAAAATGGCAGTGATGTATGATCATCAGACCATAGAATATTGTTTGTAGAAATAAACTGGAATAAAATTGAAAGACAATTGAGACCAGGGCAGCAAGTAAGACATGATCCAATAGACAGAATTGATGTATCTTCATGCTGTTAGATGGAGCTAGTACGCCTAACCTTAAAATACGAAACATATCTGTATATATCTATAAAGTGCACGCGTATCAATGAATATAAATATAACATTTACGTGTATTAAGGTTTTAGTATATTAGTGCCGTCTGACGTTGAAAATATTCCTGAACCTAATAGTATATAGGAAGAGTTCGTACTATTTGAAAATAAAGATGATTAAGCTAATAGTACATTACGATACAAGTGCGGGAAAGTAGATTCTTGTCTCGTGTGGCTTTTACGCCCGAGCGAAGCGAGGGTGGAAGGGTACACGAGACGAGAAACTCTTTCCCGAACATGTGCCGTACCGTATTTTTTGATACGACGTGTGGAAAGTGCAATTTTCAACGCACGTTTTCTGCCGAGCGTGCGGGAAAGACGCACTTTGCGCACGGAGTGTCGAAAAATATTTAAAACATTTCCAAAATTATTTTCCAATTTTATAAGAATCGATATATTTTTAATTACGGATGTAATTGCAAATTATTATTCGGCGCTAAGAAATTCAGCGTTTCCTTTTACGTATCTTTATCTTCTTTTTTATCGTATATACATCTTGGAAGCCATGTTCAGTAAGCCAATACTCAGGGAAGGCAAGTAATTCGGGACAAAGTAGCTCGGGCCTTTAATTCGAAAATCCGCCGAGGATCAGCAGCGAAAATCGTAAACGTAAAATAAGAAAAGACGATGAGGGAGAGAAAAAGAGAGAGAGAGAGAGGGGGGGGGAGAAGAGTAAGTAGTGTACGTGTGGTCGAATAGAAGGGGCGAAGGACCTCGCGCCCGAGATAACAAGGCGAATCAAGCGACGTCTCGGTAGCTTGTGGTGCTTGACAACCGTGCCGCCTTGTAATAAGATATAATAAGACATTTAACTCTGTGTCCTTCGTCTTGCTTTCGCGCGCGCGCGTTCGCATGCGCTACCTTATTTCAGCTCTTCGGTTTCTTCCTCTTCCTCGTCCCTTTGCACTCTCTCGTTCTCACGTCTTTCCGTTCCGCTTCGGTGGCATCCAACGGTTTTCTTAACATTGAGGCTCCTTTTTTCATGACGATGGATGTATACCGTTTGATCCATCATAGATATAAGAAGGATTCATTTGACTCTATGCCTAAAAATTAAAAGACACATTTCTATATTTAATGAAAACATAACGATATTTGAAAAGGTGTTATTCAAAGCCACATTGTGGCGCAAAGTATACGAGTGTACTCGAACCAAATCGGCATTGGAATTGATTTAACGAGCACGCAGCAAGACATCTGGAAATTATGGAGTCCCTCACAGCCCATTACAATAGTCGGCGTTGTATTGCATAAGTGCTCTTTATGGTTTTCACGCGGCGAGTAGGTACAGTCGGAAAGCATGGCAGTCAACAAGCGGCACGTGAAGCCGCAGAGACTGACTGTTGAGTGAAAGCAGAAGCTCCCTCGCAACGGTGGGCGCGTGCGACGAGATCGGTATCGTTGCGTCTTGTCACCGGAATTTAAGGCTACGCGCGCCCTACACTAATTTTCTTCCACGTGATTTTCAGGGAAACGCTTTCAAAGAAGTGCCGGTTTTATAGCTTCGCTGCTCGACTCTATCTTTGATGCTCGACCACGTGTTTTTCTTCGGCAACGCGGTTAACCGCTTTTTCAAATTTTATCGCCACTTTCCATTATACTTACTTACTTGTTGATTAATATGTCAGAATCACTAGTGTAAAGGTAGATGCTAAGTAAATATATCATCGATGACTAATCAACAAAGTTTCAAAGTTATCTCTGATTTGCAATATAATGTTTGTTAAGCTTTGTTTATTAAACTTATTCAAGCTTTACCTTTAACCTAAGCGTGCTTGCGTAATAATTCTAGACTCAATCGAGTAGTTTATGGAAAAAATGGAAAAAATGTGTAATTTAAAATCGAGACTACCAAGGTTCCAGATAATTGGCTTTCGATGAAAATCGCTTGGCTTTGAATTTGGCGGTGGGCCGTGTAATAGCGGTGACCTTATCCTAAACCTCTAATTATTTGGAGCGCTATGTAGGCAAAACCTACGCTTAACACGTGGCAAATATCACACTCGAATAAAGAATTCAAGTGATCATATCTTTCGGATATGTAGGAAACATCGTAACCAAATGACAGGATTGAGTCATCTCAATATCGAGCTAGTCTATAATCAATCTAACAGAAGATGTAACGGCAACATCTATAATAGTTGTGCTTATGTCTTAATATACTGTGACGCTTTTATAGTGTTAATTTGAAAATATAATTAAAAATGAGTATCGGTCTTGCAACGCGCAAGAGAGTAGCCGCAGTTCGCACGAGGGATAGGATTGTAACGAGAGGCACATTCTAGCTGCTGCGGTAAAAATCAGCGCAAAGGTACGGGAGGTGAGAACAACGCGAAAACGGCCGCGGGCTGTCGGCGCAATGAATAACTCGAGAATAAGTCGAGGATGATGTTCGCAAGCTCTCGCGCGCGTATCTATCGCTGATTGCTGCGCGGATGCTAGCCGCTGGGCTTTAATGCCGGTATCGCGGACGTCGATTAGGGCCGCGCGGCGTACAAAGCTGCGCGGACGATCCTCGACGCGCGCAAGCGGAACGTGCCGCAGACATAATAGCGCGATAATTAGCTTCTGCGAAGCGCGGCTTCTGCGTCTCTCTCAAAAGAGCGCGAGCATTATGCGGGATTGTTGCACGCTTGATTTCATCCCGGCGCTGGCGCGCGCTTATGATGTAGCCGCGCGCGCGCGCGCGTCGTGTCGCGTGATTTTCCATTTTTCTTTTCGTTTCGGCAAATCAGCTCTCGGCAGCCGTTTCGCATTTGCCGTAAATTATTTGCGTTTACATGGCTGGCGACCGTTAAGCTGTTACAAGCAGCCAGCAGTTAGGCACGTATCTCACGCGCGCGAGATGATTTGAGGCGCACTTTGTTGAATATTTTAATCGCCCCCCCCCCCCCCCCCCCCCAGAGCGTGTTATTTACAAACATGCGAACACCTCTATTTTTATTTTATTATTCAGGCAACGTTAAGCTCGCTCACGTTTGCTAAACGCATTCGTTTAGTTTTACACGGTAAGCTGAAAAGAGAGATCGTCACAACGCAGCGCGAAGACAAAGGCAAACAGTAAAGGAGAAGTATAAGCATAACGTGAAAACCAATAGAATGCGCAGAAGCACTCGCATGCTGCAGCTTGAACTTAGTGCCAGAGATTTATCTCTCTACTTTACCGTTACATCCCTTTGCGGCTGGCGCCGCGCGTGCGAGGATTGTCGTCGTTTCGCTTTGCGGAAGACTCGAACGGCGACACGTTCAAGAGCTGACATATACGTTTCTTTTGCAACGCGTGGCGCATTTGCCTCGTTGACGTTACGCAAATCGAGTTGAGCACCGCACTGACAGTTTTCAATTCGTTTTCTCTTGATCATTCCACTTTCGAAATTTTTTATCGACTCCGTAGGCACACGAACGAAGGTATAGGCTCGAAAATTGAAAATAATAGGCTAGTGTGATCAAAAGGTCTCTCGGATAAAGACGTGTATATATCCCCGACTGCGAAATAAATAATATCTGAAAAGAGATCTTTCACCCCTATATCTTGGAAGAAGAGAAAGATTTCTTTGGAGCGAGTTATAAACTTTGACCGATTAAAATCACATAATTCCTATGAGATACATGGACCTCATATAGCGCGGTCACCCACAGAGTAGGCCGTTTTTGGGGTATTACGCCTCTATTTCGGAGCAACGAGCAGGACAATAGTTATTCGATCGAAATGTAGAGCATCATTCAAGGGGTTGGGAAATTCCGTGGACTAAGCGTTTTCATAGAGTAACAACTCGACACTTGACAATCGGTGATTTATCGATCTTCGTTTCGCGTTTTAAAATGCTTTCCATCGAAAAAAAAGGCACACGTTTACGATCTCGTTTCTCCGTATGTAGCTTACTACAGAGCCGAGAGCTCTGAACGCTTTCCCATTTTTTATCGTCGGAAATATAACAACTCAATTCGCGAATCCTCGCGGGCCATAAATAATGAGCTAGTTGGCATCGTCATTATCATCATCATCAAGCTTAATCCACATTTTTGAGTTTGGATCTAATTGCTCGAATCACGCCCTGGGCGTAGTTCGGCTCTCTGCTCTCCGCTAGCTGGGCGGGCTCTCTCTCTCTCTCTCTATCTACCCTCCCAGTGATGTATGATTTTTCTCCGCGCTTTTCATTAATTTCTTCGCTACGCTTCGTGGAGGTTTTTTGACGATATTTTTTTCTTCTCTCTGCTCAGCGGAGGCTTTTCATTGACATGCGCTTTTGTCGAATCTACGCGGGGTAGCTGCTGTGGCTTTTCAATGCTCTAGCTTCGATTATGGTAATCTAAACTAGCTTGAGCTGTCTTCGGATCTTTTGTCCACATTGATGAATAATAATGCACTTTTTTTCTAGTGCGATTGGGGGCTTTAAAAAAAATGTGCTGCAGGTTTTAATGGAAATTGGATTTTTTTTTGAATCAGCGATATACAATACGCGATTCGATTCGCTGATTTTATTGTTTCTTTTCTACGACGAATCTTCAATGATAAAATAACTCTGCAAAGAATATCGTAGTGTTATCTAAATTGCGTTTAAATAGCGTTGTGCTTTTACTTTGTTGTTGAAAATAAGAAATAAAAAAGAAACAAACGCTACGAAGATAACAAAATTTCAGGAATAGAAATCCATTGCCGAAATAGCCGAAAAATAAGTCACGCGAGAGAGTCGCGTCTAGTAGCTGGCGAGACCAAGCGAGCAGACATAGAGCGCAGAGATATATACCTGGGCACACCGGAGAAAGAGACAGAGAGGGAGAGAGAATGCGTGTAATTATCGGGTAACTGCGCGCGGCGAGCCCTTGTAC